AGTGTGATACGCGCACTCGGATGTCATAGATCCCGATCGGCCTTTGATCGATCAACTGGTTGATCCTTGCGATCAGCTTGTCGGAGTCATCGATCTCCGGGTCAACTAGAGTCTTCCGCAGGATCTTATTACGCACTTCAAAGGCTTTGTCAGGCGACATTCGCACACCTTTTAGCCGACTCAACATCTGTCCTGGATCACCCATCATATAATCAATGTGGGACCATTCGTCTGTCGTCAGCGTGTGTCGTCTGTCACGTCTGTGCCCGTCAGAGCTTCTGTCAGAGTAGTAGACTTCTTCCAACATGGGTTGCTGCTGGACGTTCATTGGTTGCTGTTGACTATGTACTGATGTCAAATCGAGAGTAGGTGGTCGTACGGGCTGTACTGGTACCGCTTCCTGAATTTTGCGATGCGTAAAGGCTGGCTGTTCAGCCTTCTCCTTAGCCGCGATCACCATCTCTAGCTCCTTTATAAATGACGTCGTTAGCAGTACTCTGTTATATTGTAGCAGTCGTTGACAGTCTAGGGTCGTACATACCTCTCCCCAAACCTTTGGTGGGATGGCTTGGACCCTAACTACGTCCATGTTGCCACTCTTATTCGCCTCAATAATGATATTGCGTGCTTCCTTGTGTACATCCATCGTTGATCTAGTCTCAACCATATGGGACGGGTAACTGAGTTCGAGTGTATAAAGTGAAGTTCAATGTTCAGAAGATGCTTTTCTTTTCACGAAGAAAAATTATGATGATTGAATAATTAAAAACTCTTTAAGAGAGGAGACGGTGTCTCCTTGAATAAAAATCGGCCGGGTTCTGGCCTCCTGGGATATGCTGGTACGCTGCCTTATATAAGGCTCGAATGCGTGCCGCATATACTTCTAAGTCGTTGCGCGGTTCCTCTCGTCTTTCGAGGGCCTGCCAAAGTCGTATATTGTCCGTTACAATAATCTTCCTCGCATTCTTATCAATGAAATCTATCGCAGACTTGTATTTCGCTAGCAGCTTATAAGCGCCTTGAATTTCCTTATACGATGCTAGATTTGTCGATGTCTTCGTTAGAGGAATCGA